TAATAATATTTCTTGTTAAGTAAAGTTAAAAATGTTCTTTACTCTTTTTGTGCAAATGTTTCTATCAAATGAAATTGGACCTTAATACTATGACCGGGCTATAGATGTATTCACACTATAGGTATATTACTGTTATCTGTGTGGTGAGTTTTTACTATTTTGTAAAGCAATGTTATAAAGCATAAGAGTGTTTAAACACGCTAATATCAGGAACTACAAGGCCTATATGATTTTTTTTGTCGATTGGACGATATCGTGCAAGTGCTTTAGATTATAAAACATCTGTTTTCGAATAATAGGAGCGAAGAAATAGAGGGAAATGTATAAAAAATCAAATTTTAAAGTCTTCCTTTCGGCTTCCGATGCGTGCACTGAGAAAACGGGTCAAGAAACCAAAAAATATGTAAAAGAGATCTTTAAATGTCTACAATGATATATGTCTATTTTAAGATTATCTATCTCTAAAGAACAAGACGTGGACGACAGCTATGTTATATAAAAAGCTGAGAAGATTTTTTGCACAAATAAGTATAAAGTAATCCCTAAAATAACTACTCCACGCAAGGCGGAATCGCAGGCACAGGTAGTTCTTTATAATTTCAAATACAAGTCATAATATATCTTAAAAGTTTTTATAATTAAGTGAAATTCAGCTAGAATATAAATAAAACCATCTAATAGACGAATTCGAAATGTTGGAGTTCGAAACAATAAAATAACTATATTGATACTCTGTACTTGTCTCCTGAAAACAAACTATTACAGTAATAGCTTATACGAAATAATTAAAGCCCTTCATAACATGGACTGCAAATAATTATAAACTATAACTTCTTTAATGTGAACTGACACGTGTTTATTGGAAGATATAATAAGTAGGTTCTTCTAGTAGGTAGGTATATCTTCAAGCATGACACAGGAAAAACTGTAAAATAAATTACTACACTATGTAACTTTTTTATGAGCCATGTTGATCTAGTGGTATGATTTTTATTCGTGAGGCCAAGAATTCGAGATCTAGCTAAAGAAATATTCCTCTAGTAGATACCTACACCCTGACACGTGCATGGTGGTGAAGAAAAAATCGTAAGGAAACTGACGTATAGCAATATCAATATGCAATTGAGTAGCCGGGTGGATAGAGAATAATATATATTTTAAGAGATCCGACTCCCAGTTGTGGGAACTGCTAGGGATTTGATGGCATATTTTGCTTATGATAGTAACAAGGCAAATATTTTAATCATAGACACAAAGGGCGAAACTCATTCTTTCCTATCGATATGCTCATTATTTAATATAAACAAAAACTTTCGAGCAACCGTAGCGTCACTGTGATCGTATGTTCAAGTTATGCTGAGTCATCTCTTATTTCAATCATACATTTTAAGTACTGTCTGTATATTACGCGAGTACACATTAAAATATTAGTATTAGTTAACTTATTCTCCAGTTATTGTTATTTTAACTACAGCCCGACGATTCGAATGCTTTGCAGTAGCCGTGGAACGTGTTGTCGGCGTTTCTTGTTTACATTTCGCGATTTAAACCGTTAAGTGTTTTATTCTATTTTTAATTTAAAGAAAAGGCAAAATACATAATATTATTATACCAATTAGGCACAACTCGACCCGCAACGAACCGAGTTATATTTATTAGTATTCATTGTGTTTGCATTAAAAACAATCCTGCATCCGCGGCTTATTTATTTTGCCTCGTTTTGTCATAATAATGCGCATTGATAGGGGAGAAGGTGTTTTGCTTATAGAGAGTGTTTTTTAGGTATAAAGCGGGCAATACTTTTTAATAGCAACTTGAAATAAAATCGCTCTTAATTAGGTAGGCCTATTACCTAGTACGTCGTGATTTTCAGTGCATTATCTATAGATTCGTCTCTATTGTAAATATTAATTTTAAAAATAATATATCGTACAATTTAAATCAAGATATTAAAAATTTTTTTTCTGTTTCTTTTGAGAACCTCGAAACAAGATGTACTGGCGACCTATTTTGGTTTTGGGTATTCGAAAATCCATAGACCGACACTCGATAAATAAAGCCGCGAAAGCTTGTTCATCTGCGGATGGCGGTGTGTGACCCGGACGGATTTTGGTATTTCTACCCGTTTCAGATGAACTCCAACATGTTTCAGAAAAAATTTATATATAATTTATATTATAAATTAATTAGAAAATGTTGGACCTGCTGATAACAATTACGAGCTCGTCGATTTTGCTTTATTCACGTTTTATATTATAGAAACGTTAACGGTTTAAAACGCGAACTATATTAGATATTGTAACCACGGCCCGACGTGTCTTATACTACGATTATAACTTATTGTTTCAAATGTAAACTCCTCTCATACATGTGAACTTCTTTCACGGAAATACTGGTATAAAAAGAGAACACCATGTATATAGCTCACCTACAACGCAAGAGGGACCGCGCAATTGTTTATGTTATTTCAACGTATTTTGCCCCACAATAGCTGCGCTTGTTTTCTTACAAAATCAGTACCCTGCCAGTGATATCTATCAACTTGCATATTTTATTGAAGATAGGGGACTAGTGTACACAAGTGCCAGGGCCTGATTTACGCGAATTTTTATTTAGTTTTAAACATTTAGGTCTTTATTAGTGCTTTTACTGACAATGGCAAGAATGGTATCTCAGTATTGTTTGTTAGTCAGCAGTCGTCGTCCTTGATAATTAGCACTTACAGTATGAATTATAAGTTGTTTACAAACCCACGGTAAATTTTCTTGAAGGTACCTCAACATGCGGCTATAATAAATTTGTTTTTATCGCAGAATACACCAGTTAATTAATAGTACCTAATAATAGTTGATAGTTATTAAATAATTTTGTCCTTTATTGGTACGAACCTTACAATTACCTACTTTTTGTTTTGCATAGATTATTTTGATATTATTGTGAATACTTACAAATTAAAGTTACTAAGGCATGAAAAAAAATGCATAGTAGAAAGATAATCTACTAAACAATTGAATCTATTGTATTTAAGCATAAGTAGCAGATATATTTTTAATGACAATTATTTTGCATAGAGTGGTTAAAATATCTGGATAGCTATATTTTTATAAAGGGTTCAAAGTGTAATACTGCTACCGATATCATTAAAATGTTTTTTTAGTTTACAATCTCCAAATGTTGATTTAAAAAGACATTATTTTATTATAATGCCTTTCAATTGCTTTTTTAGGGTGTCGAAATGCATAAATACTTAATTGGGAACCCCTTATCCCCCTGCCGACGTATCACGACGTAACATATTTGCAAAATTACATTAAAATTGTCCCAGTAGTTTAGGCGCAAAAACGTAGCCATCTTTTACTCTAATAATCTTTCAGTTTTTAATCATCAATATTAAATGACTTATGTGCTATTTACTTTGTATGAAAAAACTCCTTTAAACTTTATCAGATCATAAATAGTTTTATACATTGCGTAAGGCTTTCACGGACCTTTCGCTATCACGTGTGGACGGCATTATCAGGAGATGTTAACTCCTCGATTTCTCGAAGAATCCGCACGTGATGGCGAAACTTCGAGAACCTCTCGCGCACGTCGGCCGAACAGCCCAAAAGAGCATGCACCAGGCACCATGTATAATAAGTACCTTCTGCTTTTAAGGCAATATTAACTTCAAGGATGATAAGATAAAATATAAACAATCAATTTTCCAGTGTTTTTATTTCGAGTAATATTTTCCGATTATCTAGACTTTTCTATACAGTTGTATTCTTATTATAACCTAAGTTTTGTTCTAACAATTATCCTTTAAAAATCTACGTTTTATACAATAAGTTATTATACGGTGCATTTGTAAAATTTGGGTATTTAAATTAAAACAGGATGGTCATTTTGCAAATGTTAGAGGACTTTTGTATCCATTTATATCCTTCGTAGAAACACAATTTTAAGTTTTTCAGATATTCAAAGTGCAAACATATTATCAAGATTGAATATTGTTTATTTTAATGAACATTAATAAAACAAGAATGGCAAAAAACGTGATTCATTTTTTCTATAATCATATAAACAACAATCTTAGACACTAGCTATAGAATACTTTGTGGTATGGCAACACAAATAAATGCAATTTACTTTTAATAATTTAATAGGCAGACATTAATTTCAAAATGTTGACTTTCCAGAAACACTCTCGAAATGAATTAAGTACACATGTACTAAAATTAAGATCAGTGCTTGATTTTCCTATTACTAGTAAGCGATCTAATAATAACATTAAACTAATTATATTATTTACAATAATCAACCTAAACGCTATAGTTTCGTTGCATTTGACAAACATATAAAATCACCGATGATATTAAAAGGGAAACAGGCATAAGGCAGTTAAAAGTTGCTATAAATCACAAACTTAAATCCAATAAACAAATGAATAAATACGATATTTTTAACGTGTTATCTGAACGATTTGTTTATTTCATTTTAGTCTGTGTTTAGGACCAGTAAGACGATAATTGAATAATACTGTTAAAAATAACACGATTATTTTTATAAGCATAAAAAACCATAGGTTTTATTAATATGCCTTCCTTCAATAATATCATAAATGAGTTTTGGAATCATAGAACCTTAATCTCACTTAAGGTTTATTTACAATTGTATGTACAGCGTATAAACAAACATGAGGAACGATAATTTCGATAACAGTATCAAATAATAAATAATTTGCAAAACGAAACATTTCTTAAGATGACTGAACTAGAAGTCAACTTGACTTAAAACTCACTGCCTTTCTTCTCCTATGTTCGTTGGTTAAAATAATATAATAAATTGACGCAGACTCATATTTTAAGAAACGTAATTATGGAGTTATAATAAATAACGAAATCAGGTACCTCCTCATTGCGACTAAAAGCTTCCAATTATTAACATAATATAACTTTTAATCATTGATATATTATTTACAGGTCAAATCAGTTCGTTCGATGTAATTAGCTGTCGGGTCAGAAAATTACCGTCAGCGGGCGTCTAAACTCTCCACTCTGCGTGCTCTGGGGATATTGCCCAGGGTATTGAGGCATTAGTAAGCTAGGGGACTGATAATACGGCAGGGAGGGTGACGGATTAGATCCAGTGGATGAACTGCCTTCGGGGCGATCGTTTTTAGGAGTAACTTCTGGTGACTCCGTGGACCGAGGGGAAAGGCTGGACGGAACGGTGTTCAAGCCGGCCATCGCTGCTGCAGATGCTTCAGAATACATCTTACTAATGTCCATTGGATAGGACCTTTGCTGCTGCTGGTCCATGTACATATAAGCCTTGGACAAAGCAGCCGAGTCCAGGTAGCCTCTCGTTGGATCTGGGTACATACCGTAACTTCTGTATTTATCTTCTATGGAATATTTGGACATATCCATTGAACTTCCGACCTGAAAAAATTAAGATTATAAAATCTGATGCATGTTATTAAATAAAATATGACTCTAAAACCAAGGCAATTTTGAAATTTACGTTAATTGACGGGCTTGTTGGTGAGGTTAACGGCTCACGAGTTCGATCTCTACCAGTTCCAACGTGTAATTTATATTTTTTATAAAACATGTTTGACTACGTCTGAAAATCTGCATATGAAATGGGTGGGAGAAATATCGAAATTCCGTCCAGATCGCGATTCACCATCAACAGATGAAAACTCCGTGAAGTTTTATCGCGTTTCAGTCTCAGAGTGTAAAGTTACTGGTATAAAAAGCATAAGTATAGTGAATACTAATGTTTCATAATTAATCATAGGAAAATGAAATGATGAAGTAAGCAAGAAAAGGTCGTGTTGCGATGCCGAAGCAAACAAACAAACAAACGCAAATCGTACGACTCCGAATTTTTAAGTAAACATAAAATTAATTTTTGATTGAATTATCTATACGCTAAAGTCCACACGTTGATATGGTCGTGATCTATTAGTTTTCAGCTGAAGGCTCTATTTTTATTGTACGAAACGAATAATGCGAGTTATTGCGTAAATGTGATAAATATGCTATTTATCAGTTCTAGTAGATATATAATTCGTCGCGCAGTCATTAAAGAAACGCTAATCAAATATAGGTAATGTGAAAATATAAAGGCACTTCCATAGAATTTATAGCTTTATTTAATACTAGCTTTGCTAGCGACTCCGTCCGCGAGATTCGTTATTTTTGGCGTCCAAATTCGTTTTTGCAAGTCCCTTCATCTTTATAAACTTAAACTTTTACCCACGACATCAGTCGCAACCCTTGCCTTCGTTCTTGCAAGGTAATCTTTATTTAAAAACTATGTGTAAAACTTATTTTTAGATCATTTAAAGAGAAATAATTCATTTATACATATATTTTTTGGATATCTTGAACCGTTTTCGCAGCGTACGCCTTGGAAATCCATAATGATGAATATTTTATCCCAATTTTTCTCACATTTCTGGCTGTATCTTCACTATTTAGCCTTTCTCAAAAAATGTTCTAACCGACACCAAAAATAATTTTTCAAGTCAAACCTGTAGTTACTGAGATTAGCGCGTTGAAACAAACAAACAAACTCTTCACCTTTATATATTAGTATAGATATTGTATTCCTAAAAAGTTATAATGTCATGCGATTTGTTTTATATATATACGAAACCTCCTTGGGCACGAAATGTCCGTTGCAATAATCAATTTTATATACAATTTACCGTTTCCCCGGAATTCAAATCTTAAAACATCTTATGCTTGACACTCAGGCAACGTAATTAACCAGTCTACGGAGACATATAGGATACACTTGTATAAAATTAGAAACGTATTAAAATAAAATATTTAACGAAAATGTGAAATTTTCTATTATACAATTCAGAAAGTATATATTCCTCCCAACAATCCGTAGCAATGTCGTCGCTTTGACAAGATGTAAATAACTTGTGGATTAAATTTACAGTTATACCTATAGATAGGTATCTATGTTGTAAGTTATACCCGTTGTTGTCGAATCTTATTAGATCTATTTATAGTTTTGTTGATTAGAGTTGATTACATAAAAGTTGTTGTGAGAGTTGGCAGGATTTCATTTAAGGAAAACGTAATAATAATATTTAGATATAAGGATTTTTTAAATACAAATATAGATTATACTTTATAGCCATATATATTAAGTATTGTCTGTAGTTTACGCGAGTACACATTTAAAAAAGACACTGGAACCCGTAACCACGGCCTAGTAAGTTAGTTTAAGTACGTAGACAAAATAATTTGTAAAAAGTTAAGTAATACATCGAGCAAATCAAAATATTACTAGGTATTAATTCGTTTTCAAGAGACGGCACCTACATTAATTTCGTAAGAGGATTATCATTTGTAATCTATTGACGAATAAACTGAAAAATGAATTGTAAAAAGCATGAGCTCATTGTAAAATAAAACTGTATTCTCTCTGAAAAGAATTGAAAATCCTTTGAAAAACGATGTCGCATTGTGTAACAAATCAAACTTAACAAAGCATTCGAATAAAGGTTCGAGTTTTAAAAATTTTTAATGAAGTGAGCCGCACAATATTGTGAGGTAAATAGCCGTTTGTGGGACACACTGCTACATTGTTCGCATTGAAAATTATAACGTAATATATCGCGTGGCTTAAGAGTTATTCGACGATTATATTTCAGATAGATGGGAAATAACGGAGTTATGAAAATTTACTTAGGAAATATAACATTACTACTATAACGTTTATCCTTATATATGGGCAGTATAGGCATGGGAAAATGTTTTACTTTGTCTATTGTTTGACGATTTTATTCACAAGCAAAAAGTTATTACGTCTCTCCGGCATCAAAACTAGAACCTCTGCCACGCTTCATACAGTGAAGAGTTGGATAATCGTCTGTAGAAGTGTAATGGTTAGCAGATAATGTGACTGATGGCCTTTTATGGGTGTCTGCAATCCAATAGTAATGCAGTGTTAGACGGCCACGAAAGGCTTTATAATTACTTAAGTAATGAAAAATTGTCTGTTGCTCTTTTTTAAATAATTAAAAATAAAATGTACTTTATTATCTTTAAAATTTGAAAAAATATGTAGATTCCTCAAATTTTTTTGTTTGTCTGTTCGTCGTCGTCTTCATTTTACAGAGTGTTCAAAAGAGCAACATAACTGAGAAGAACACCCAAGAAACTCAGTCTGGCTTTTTTAAATGTCTTATAAACTAATACAATTTTGCAAATTTATTAACAGGAGCAATTCATATTACTGCCAGGCAGTCTTGTCATTAAATAAATCGTTCAGACAATAATACACCTTTTGAGACATTCTTCGTTTTATTACTTTCTTATATTGAATTTGTTTCAATGTCTGTGAATCATGTGTTCCAATTTTAAATGTCTAACTTGGTTCGGGATTATTACAGTCGGTACATAGGTACAAAGCGATCACTGTCGTGTTTATCATTTTCCCTGAACATAGCATGTTTACCGTCGTCTAGAGCAGTGTGTCCCGCCGCGTTAACGTATAACATACGGTCCTTAGGGCAAGGTGGTGCTAAATCAGGATTAGCCGGACACCGCGACGCGACGTAGGTTTTACTGCCGGTGCTCGGTATCGGCCGCATTGTGAATGACGAGTTTTCTATACTTTTATTATTATGTAGCTTATAGATTTTTTATACGACCGTCCACAAACACTAAAAATGCTTTTTCAAACAAATGATTGTCCGGTAGGTTTTCCACCCACCACAAATGATATCGGATATAAGAGAATCTGAAAGTTCAAAGCGTTATTTTTAAATTAAGAATTCGAAAAAAACGTGAAAAATTATATATATTTAATACTGTTTGTAGTTTACGTGAATAAAGCACATTTAACTGTTTAAAATTGAAAATGGATAGGGTTTTGAAGTTTTAAAAACCTATTTTAACTAGGGCTCGACGTTTCAGATGCTTTGCAGCAGCCGGTTGTCACGGTAAGTTTCCCTCAAGAAAAACTGTCTATCTAAAAAGAACTAACTTTCTCAATAATCGCCTAATCACGCCGCGCAGCTTATAGGTAGCTAGTTTTCTTGAAAATTAAATTTTAAAATAATTATCAAATACCTACCCTTTATAATTAACCGTGAAAGCCCCTAACAGCTCCCTAAATCATCGATCAACGTAATCGAATAACGTAAACGACAATGGTTCGTTATATTATTATCGATAGTTCGGTACCTGTTCGCAAAGCGCACTATCACCGTTCTTAATATACCCCTTCAATGGTAGCTGATTATATTGTTTTCGATGTTTAGGGCTCAATTCGATACGTTAATCGAAAAAGTCGATAGTTGAGTTTATTAATACGGATAGCCTTAGCAAGGCTTTTGGAGATTGCGTGATTGCAAGGCATTGTAGATAATTATAACTCGATGTATGAAGGAGTTCTTTTTTGTCCAATATTAAGTGTTTAAATAAAATACTTTTAACGGTTTCAAATGTGTTCAAATTTCAAAATTGTTAGTCTTTTTTGTATGTATACCTACTACTAGGTGATATTATGAGTCTAGTCATCTTTACCTTCAATAAAATTTAAATTGAATGACTTTCAAGTGCATTGCATTGCAAAAATTAAAACAACAAAATATATATTTTTTTATTATATTTATCCCGATTTGAGTCACAAGTGAAAATAATTGATCATTACAAACTCTCAAAATGGGTTTGCGAAAATTGACACTTGAGTTATATTGCGGACAATAAGAACGGGTGTTTATTTTAACACCTTGGATTGGAGTTGGCCTTTAATTGGAGATATTGTTGCGTCAATTATTATATTGGCATATTTTCTTAAAGTTTTTTTTTTATGGTAGAGGAGGACAGGCAAGCGTGGAGTTCAATTTCAGTACCTTTTAGTATTTTTGCTCGTGACCTGTGATTCCGTCAAAACTTTTTTTTATTTAACATTTTACTTTAACTAGCCCGAGAAAACCAATATCTATATATAAAGCTGAAGAGTTTGTTTGTTTGAACGCGCTAATCTCAGGAAGTAAGCGTAGCAAAACATAACATTCCATACTTTTGCCACGCTGAAATTATAAATGTTTAACTCTTATATGATCTCAAACATTAAGAAAACAGTAAACCTAGAAAATAGTATTAGTTTTCGATTTCCTTTAATAAATTAACTAAACGATGATCCAAATAGTCTACTAGTGGCTGTAGTTAGTAAGTCCACTTATCATTAAAATAATGATATCACATAATGAAGTGTGTAAAAGCCGACAGAACTTAAGATGTAAAATCACATTAGCTGAGTCAGCACCTCGTCGCAATTAACCCAACGTGTGATCTAATTTACCCCAATTCGCGTCGATAATGAAAAAAATTAAAAAGCGTGTAATGAACGCGGAATGAGTTTACTCTTTATATTAGGGAGGTGTATAATGTGTTAAAAATTTTGCACTTTCGACACGGTCATATGGTTCAGCTACCTACTTGTAACACAAAAAAATCGTAATGTTTTTTAGTTTAACTTAAGTGCCTACCTGCGCGTTAGGAGTTAGTGCAGCTGATATTGCATTCTGCTGCGCGGCTGCTGCAGCTGCTGCTGCCATGCTGGCTCCGAGAGGTCCATACGCTGCACCATAGTAGCCTGACATAGCTTGACCCATTCCTCCACCCGCCATACCTGTCAACAAAGTCAAGTTAAGTTAGTTCTAATAACGAACTTTGACATATTTCAGTATTTGAGTACATGTATATAAAATGCGTACAAATGTCTGCCATACAAAAGGCAGACATTTGTATGCAATTTTATTTATTATGCACAATCGTTAATATTTATAGTCTGTAGTTTACGTAAGTGGTTATCTTCAACCGTTTTTGAAGCGCACACAAATAAAGACATGAAAGATAATAAAATGAAAAATAATTTTCCCTCGTTTTTCCACATCTTCCCCTGTTTATTTACTCCTATTGGTTGCAGCTTTAAGTAAATAGTCTAAAGCCTTAATCGATAAATGGCCTGCCCAACAAATCATTTTTCAATTCGACCCAGCAGATCCTAAAATTAGTGCGTTCAAAGAAATAAACTCTCTAGCTTTATAATATTAGTACAGATAAACCACGCTAGTCCATTTACAGTTTGTTTACCCCCAAGACAACTAAATCTCAAAGGTCCGTTATGGAGGTATTCAAGGCATACAATAGGAAGGCGAGACCTCAGATTTGAGTACCAATTAATTATTTCATTGTGAGGGAGTAATCTGGACCCTCGAGTCAACGGTCAGTTGGAGTTCCTTGAGGCTGTTCATTAAATACAGTTCGGGTTAGTTTACATTTGTGATAGTGTTAATGAATATGGGTTTGATAAACGTTGAAGGGGGTTAGTTAATTGAAGTCTCGCAATGCATTGAAGCATATTCTTCTACCACCCATAACGTACTATGGGTAATAGAAGAATATGCTTCAATGTAATTAATTATTTAATAAGTATTATTAGAACCTAGAGACGTTTAAATAAAACACTTTAACGGTTTAAAACGCAATATATTAGTTAAACTTATTTGTGAATGATTTTTAACTTCGGCCCGACGTTTCGGATGCTTTGCAGCAGCGGTGGTCATGGCATCCGATCCATACGAAGCACTAAACGTCGGGATTTAAATTTAAATATTTTTACTAACTGATTTATTTAAATTATTTACCTAGAGACGTCCCGGGTTTGATCCAATGAAATACTTATAATTTTGTTTAGACAGTAAAGAGGTCTTAGCAAAAAAAATACATAAAAACACAAATACCTATATACCTACCTATAGACTTTAACTCCAATTAATTGTTGTTTTTTTTTATCAACTTCAAGTTTTGAGTTCATAAAAACCACATGGAAAAACCGAACATCGGTGTATTCCAATGTTCCCGATCGTATGTACGGAAACATTTGAATAGACTTCAAAATTATATCTCATAGGTACAGTTATATTTTTCTGTACATATTTCTATTTATTTAACAAATATCGTTAATACTAAATTATTAACGATACGCGAAGCCTGTTCGTAGATTCAGAAATCGAAATGTCATAATATTTGACATATCAATGTCTGCTTACGCGTAATCGAACACTTAAAAATGAATGAAATATTAGACACCCTCATTGTGGTGACATCTACAACATATTATTAGTACTCGATGCCACCACATAACCCGTATTCAAAGGGAGTAAGGTGGATAATCGTTTGATTGAATTCAGTAAAGAGGGATGAGAGTTTTTTATTATATTTTATAATTAAATTCGCTGTCATCTAACGGCATTCTGTCTTCATCTGGTATTGGCGTGAATAACGATATTCAAGTGTTTTATTAATTTGAAGTAGATCGTCGAGGTAATATTATAAGATATATACCTATTTACATTTATTTATTTATTCAAGAAACATAACAGAAATACTAAAAGGCAAAAGTATAGATTGCCTATATGGTATATTAATTTTGAAAACTTTAATATTTTTCACATGTTATTGCACATATTTAACCAATTGAGCAACACGGAACGCTGTGGATGGTCAGGTCCCACTCGGGTCGAATTTTTTTTTTCAATCTATAATATTTTTTTTAATTATTATAAACTATTTGAAATAACTACGTTATAGTTATTACCTAAAAATATTAATTTACCTACACACTGAGTTGTTTATCTATTTCCATTGAAAGGTAATAAACGAGATAAAAACAGTCGAAAATGATAAAAATTAATAATAGATATTTTGATTAACATACCTACATTGGCTGTGTTGTTTGTAGTAACGAAAAGGTATTTCAAATAAAATATTTCCAGTTTAATACCAAAACAAAATACTGTTTTGATGCCTTTCTGCCTCTAAGACGAAAATAGTAATGAAAAATATGTATATTCCATTTGAAAACATATCTATTTTTCCATTAAAGAACCGTAAAACCCCACAAGACATTCATTCGATACACCCTTATAAAGAGTAATTTCGGCCCCCAAGTTCGGACACAATGCGTCCATTTACGCAGGCCACATTCAGGTAGCATAATGACCAGCTTCCTCCAACATAATATGTTAATACGTAAATATAGCTCACGTATTGTGCCGGCGAGATCGATTTGAAAAAGGTCGCGAAGGATTTCCATCGGGTTTCCGCCTTGCTACGTGTTAAATTTCATGGAAAAGCGGTCATTTTCTGTTCCGTCAGGTGTTTTTGTACTTGTAGATTCGGTGAGAAAAATCGCTGTTGGACATGGGAGTGAATTTTTTTTTCTTTACATGGCTAGGTAAATCGAAAATTTATTAAGATTTCAATGACTGAGATATTAGACCAACAGAATGGGACGCTGTAGGTGTAGACTCTTTCGACGTATTCATTTTTTATGACCTAAACTAATATATCTAAACTTTTTTTTAAGTTCTTCATTTTCCAGATCAAAACGGTATTTTTGTATAAGATTTTTACATAATAAGTAGGTTATTTTAATCAATATTAGACAAAATTTACATAAAATGAGATACCTATAAACAATAAAAGGCGACTTTTTAATTTATTTCAGAATCCAAATTGTAATTACGGGGATTATAAGAGTACCTTAAATAAGTGAATACTTCTGTAAGATTTCAGCTTTGAATATGTACATATAGAATCTACTTAGAAACAAATATTTTGACTTTCCTTAGAAAATAAGTAAGATAAATCTAAGCATAGATAATTGTACGTCTTCTTATAACCTCTTTACGTAATCTGATTCGATCAGTGATTATCTACGGTTAAAACATCTCAACAAAATGACTAGGCGAAATTTCTGCCATTTCACACAAGCACCCCGTCTGTCTGATGAAACTAACAAACCGTGCTTAAATTGATAGATTAGGCACGGTTCTGCAAATCATGGTACCATAGTTTTCATACCATTAGGCAAGATCTTCGCAAGGATCATCTTAATAAGCTGTAAGCATTTGTTTTCTACACATATGATTGTGGAACGATACTGAGATGTCAAATACAAAGAAGTGCAAGTATAAATTTCGTTTTGATTCATTTACATTATAATTATATTAGCATTTAAAATCTTTTTATAACCTTTAATTATCTATAAATAGCACTGAAAATGCTTTTTATTATTGCATATCTATAGAACATACAAGAGATTTACTCGTGTCTAATGTTTTTTGCATACTGCTATACACTTTATTTACTTATTTAATAAATAAATAAATTTTAAATAGTATGAATACTTGGACCGGGTCAAAAACATCGTGCTAGATTTATATGCTTAGAAACTTATCTATTAGCATTTATTTTACGGACAAATTTTCTTGGAGGGTAGTTTTAAAAAAGTGATATAAAATTGGCGTCGACCATTATTACCTACCTTTTCATAAAAATCTGACATAATTTGCGACTTATGTTTGAGTAAATCATATATCCCTTTTTTAGAATTGCGCCCCATTTCCGTAAACAACTAAAAGCCACGCACGTCCTATCTCTAAGACGGCTAACAGCCATCTGTCATATAAATAACGTCACGTGACCGGCGGCAGTTTGCCGAGGGGTGGGGCATCCGGTAGCACAAGCGATTGGTCACTTCCGTTCAAGCTAGTATTATGCTAATGCTGATACAGCAATTTTTCGAATTTTTGGTGAAGAAAACATTCTACCTTTAAATTTCGCTTTTACTTCACGTCGTTCCGGAAGGGGTTATTACTCCCCTAAAATTGCGGCAATTACCCTTTGATGAAGCTATTAACAACTATTTTTACAGTAAAATATTTTTAACTTGAAGCCGCACACCTACCTACATATATATAAACAATCTCCAAAGAAAATTAGTACATCTATGAAAACTTCTTTTTCTTTTAACGATTCGATACGATACGTATCCTATGGGTTCGTTTTAGTACCGTGTATTCTTCAGTCATTGAATAAATAGATTGAATCATATTCGTATCAGAACCAGAGACGCAGAATCTATGAAGTGTAAATCCGTCTTTCAGTCTGTGCGCTTCTGAATCTCCGAAGCCAAAATAGTTCGCTAGCAACTATCTTGACATTGGCTACGTTATTTCACCTTACGTGAAGTGGAAGCCCACGCATAAGTAGACAAGCATAGCATCCTCAGTCATAAAAAGGCCGCATTCCGAATATCCAGCGCCAAGATAGGTCAATAGCGCAACTTGTTTAGATGTACCGTAACAATACTATCGTACATTTTTTTGACGAAAGAAACATTTAGTATTAGATATCGTTTTTAATAGACAGTTGAAATCAATTCGTTGATTGCCCTTCTTTTAAAGGCAGAACAGCTATTTGGTTTATTAAATTAGCATTGTCTGCGGGACAATAAGCCTTTTATTTGTGTAGGTGTTGAAAAATAAACTAAACACCTCTTTCTACTATTGTCTGTCTAACACCTGTACATACTAAATTAGCCTCAACGTAAACTAGCATTCCAATTAAATAATAACTAGTTATAATACCTTATGTTATACGCCTTACTTAAGCTACGTAAAAACCTATAAAGAACCTACATTCATTTTTTTTAAAGAGAGGACGGAGAAGAATTGTCTCACTTGATAGAAGGCGGAAAGACAAGATGACCTTCGACCTATTTTGGCTTTGGGTATTCAGAAATACGCTAAACTTAAACCGAAACGTAATTGAACTTCAAAGTTGTTTGTGACCCGGACTAAATAAAATATAAACATTTCCTACTACAATCGAATATCGTAGTGTAGGTTCGTTTAGGATTTTCAAGTGATAAAAATATTTGTTAATAATCATTATGATAATTATAATTTTATTTTATTAAATATGACGATTAGAAACAATAGGTTCAACTTTGAAAACAAATTAACTGTTTGGAACGAGTAATATGCATGCAAATTATGTTTTACGTCACGTTTTCTAAGGTTCACAGAAGCCAAGATCAAGGAGAATACGTAAATTTACATCAACTAATATATTTTACGTTTTGAACCGTCAGAACTATAATATTATACGTATTGTACGTTATATTTCATGTGTCTTTTTAATACTAAGAACAATACTTACAACGTTGAAATACTGATACGGTATAAATTAAAGCTACATAAAAATAACATAAATACGTTTAATTTGTTTCGTAGTTTTCGAGTGGGACAAACTTACTATTCTAGTAGATATTCTGGTAAAAACCTTTACCAATATGAAATATTACTAAAGCCACATGAATGTTTCTTAACAATCATTACAATTAATGACATTATTAAGCAAATTAGCGACAAAAACATTTATTTGGGCCAAGCGCCCGAGAGGAGAAGCCAAGTGTGCCGCGACCCTTGCGCCACGTGCTGTCCCATGTCAGTACCCTTAACAGAGCTTTTAAGTCATTTACATACATTTATAAGTATTGATTAAATATTTTCGCAGGGAATTTATGACGAGGGTCAAACAAGATATACCTATGTAATTAGATCAATAAATAAAGTATCATAAATGTAGTAGGTATGGTTACTAGCAAATTATTTTTAAATATAGCAAAATACTGTAGTTTACCCGAGTAGGACATATTTAAATAAAACACTTTACCGGTTCAAAACCCGATATAACTTCTTTGGAAATTATATTAACTATGGCCCATCTACGTCGTCCGACTCGTCTCACGACTACTACAAAACAACCGCAAACAAGTTTAACTAATATATGTCGCGTTTTAAACCGTTTAAGTGTTTTATTTAATTATAGCGAAAGTAAAATGCTTATGTAGGTATGTCAACGGGAATTAAAAAAAAATGTCTTAGAAAAAGGACAATTCAATTAACCCAGCAAGATAATAAGTTAAGTACAGTACATGTACAGTATATCTACGGTACATGTACAGTAAGTACATATTAGGTATATTTTGTCGTATTCATATTAAAAGTAATTCACTATCTTTTATTATCCATAATAAAGAGATTTTATTGGAATACGGTATTACTGACAGATATCTACATTTAACCCATTACGTAATCTTTAATATAATCCACCCCACGCTTGCAATTAACTTGAAAGCTACTTCGGTGTGACACGACCCTTAAGTAAGGGCGTCGACACACGTGCCGGAAACGCCCACAGCAGAACCGCAGTACTCCAACTAATCACTACTATAAACCAGGGAAAGACTAAAATCCAATCAAGCATGTGGGACATTTTCAAATTAATGCGATAAAATATTTCAGAGTCCGAAAAATAAGTAATAACTAAATACTGTCTATAGTCTACGTGAGTACCTAGTACACATTTAAAATAAAACACTTTAACGGTTTAAAACGCGATATATAAGTTAAACTTATTTGGAAATGATTTTTAACTTCGGCCCGACGTTGCGGATGCTTTGCAGCAGCTGTGGTCACGTGGAGACTCCCCGTGACCCCGGCAAGTTTAACTAATATATCGCGTTTTAAACCGTTAAAGTGTACAAAATAATATAAGTTTTGACTATCATATGTAATAGAAATTGTATTGGTAATATTGCGCAAATGAAATGATAAAACTCAATACATAGTAATATATAATATAATCACAGACTATAAATTGTGTTGTCATTGAAAAATGCTAAAATACAATATTTAAGTGCAAAAAAAATAAAGTGTTTATGAAGGCCATTAACATAATAAGAGAGTCCGAACGCAAAAATTCAATAACATTCCCTTTACATCCCTCAATAGCCACAATCGCATGTTATAACCCCTAAGTTTGACGTACCCCTAACCCCCATTGTCACCTTCACTTTGACGGTGAAAACTGTCAACTGTCAAAAGCAGCCAAGAAGGTTTAAACTATGCGTTCCATTTTCAAATGCTTTTCATATTTCGGATCTTTTGTGTGCACTATTTCCCCATACGTTTCGAGTAGCGTATTGATTTTATTATGGAGTAACGAAGTATATGTAAGTAGTTCTAGAGCTTTTGTTAGTCTGTCGGCCGGTGGAGGACAACAACCAGTTCTAAAAGATTTAAAAATGTAGATAATGCGATACCTAATTAGTACCAGTATTCGGTTAGGATGTTTTATTACTAAAACTGCCGTCTGTTTGTCACCAGACGTTATGTATTTCTGCTACTCGATATCAAAAAATGGTTTAACGCGCTAATATATCGCGTTTCAAACCGTTAAAGTGTTTAATTAAATGTGTACTATTTCCGTAAACTACATACAGTATTTTATATTTACTACATATTTAATTGTATAGTTCTCTAATAATACAAAGGTGACCGTTGGTAATTCATGTCCAGAACGCAGTTGTACGCAGTATAGAAGCCACCTTTCACTAGCATTTTGCTGCTTTCATATATATAGCTTTCAACCAAAAGCTAAATTCGGTCACCATTCGCATAAAGTTATAAAACTTACATTGTTGTTAATACGATTATTATCTGTGGTCATTTGCAACTATTGACGTAGCTTTACAGCGCTTAATGACAGGTTTTAAACTGTTTTATGCGATTACCATCGAATTAGGTTCTGTGACTATAAAGATACTTGCTGTTGTAAATAAGAAACGGAGATATAATTGCGCAGACAAAACAAAGGTAGGTATCGTGCAGCTAAAGTGGCATTAACAATATTCGTTCCAAATTGTTGTAGAGAAAGCTATTGTTAACATAGAATAAAAAAATTGAGTTGTATAATGCAGATTAAAAAGACTATACATAGAATTGTATTTAAATAATATTATCTCGTTTTTAACCGTTAAAGTGTTAATTCTTAATAATTTCTCTTAACTGACTATTTAGATATTTCCATATTCCAATTTAAACAAAATCTGCAAATCACAGGTGGGTTTAACTGTGATTGATGAACCTGTGATTTGCGAACTTATTCTATTAATAGAATAAGTTTTTTGTGTTGTTTAAATTTACCTATAGTAATTTAATTTTTAGCAAGAGCAATCCTCACAAATTAGATAAGATTTTATAATTTAATCACACAGGCGACTCTTCGGCGTGTTAATCATGGACTAACCTGCTCTTAATGCATCCATAGGAACGCTAGGATACGGTATTGAGTAAGGATATCCCTCCTTTCTCAAGGTCTTCGGCTTCCGTCGTGGCCGATACTTGTAATCTGGGTGTTCTTTCATGTGGATAGCCCTGAGTCTCTTTGCTTCGTCTATGAACGGCCTTTTCTCATCTTCTGTAAGCAGTTTCCACTCTGCGCCTAAAACGAAGAATATTCTTTAAAATGTTTGCATTGCTCTTAAAAGCCTAATTGTAATATATATTTTTTGGTGTATTAGATGAACTTATATTGTAAATTAAATGGCCCATTTGGTTTAGTTAAGTTTTATGAAAATTAAGTCGCTTAACTAACCCTTGTTGGTTTTAATAATCTATTACTATTTCCTAAGCCCACTCAATGCTACATTAAAAAGTTACTTGCGATATTTGAAAGGAACAAGTTTGAATTACCGCCTTTAAAATATTATAATAGTGCAACAAATATAACGAGCATCGTTAATATCAAACTAACGCATCCACCGTAGACAAAGGCAGTATAAATTCTCATTTCGAACTATACCAACAACGACAAAATGAGAAAAGTAATTTGCGCTAACCATTCTCCATTGCAGCGACAATGGCTTTGAATCGATACAATAATCGAACGACCTGTCTCCCAACGCGATTCAAGAGAACCAACCCTTTGTGTCCCCCCATTTATAGGAGGCTGTATTCATCGATACCGTGGAGGGGACCGGCCATTCAAATAGACAAGACAATTCTGATTCAGGCGGGTATAAAGCGAAAACAATGTCGCCGACATAGAAAGGAACAATCCCGACGAAGGACCATCCGCTGTCTTATTCTGTCCCGCGCAACCGCACGTAAGTGTAAGCGAGACGGCGACAACAATGGCGGAAAGCGACGCCTAATGACGAATTTGCGCTTTTCATTCCGCTACAGAAGTTTTTCCCGGTTACTCATTATTGCTGATACTTGGGAGCGTATTTCGTCTTTTGTGGCGCGATTCGATAAGAATTGTATTTTGCGACTGTTATGTCGAAATGAGTTCGTATACCTCGCTTATTTCCTTCGCGTCCGATTGAAAGTCGAAATTGAAGATGGCTATTAAATTGTATTTTTAGACACCTTTCAACATGTTAGCTGTATCATTTGTAATTATACATGAGTCTAAAGTCTCAGGTCATTCTACTTTCGATAAAATAAATATTAATGAATAGAAAAATATCTTATTCTGATAGTTAAATATATAAAAAATTTTAGGCATGTTATTCAATTTACGCGTAAACGTAGACTAGGACATCATAAGATATGGGTATAAATATATTATTGAAAATATTTGAGATTAACAATATCGATGACACACGTAGGTACACATAGGTGAACAATTGACAACCTAATTGCTATGCAGGAGAAACAAACTTTTATACAAATAAAAATGGTTTAGCCCTAGATATGAATGCGCAATAAAAAATCTAAATAAACTCCAAGCTCCGACAAGTAATTAAAATAAAGCAATGTTATCATTACAAAGCAGACGAAGAAATCTTTACTTCCCCCTTAAAAAGCATTTTCTAACTAATATTCTTTCATCACAATACTGGGTTTGCGACTAAGAAATTTTTCCCCGTCTTTTGTGTTCTGTAACAATGCAGCATACAATTGTAATGTAAATACAGCATCTTAATGACATTGGATGCTGTTAATGCAATGCATTTCATTATAAATACGTTTTCTTGAATAAATCACTTATTGTTTAAGCGGTGTTAAACTGCAATTTTGTTATACAGCGTTTGTATGTGAGAATTGTTTATCTGTTGCATAATACATTTTTTGTTACATACGTCCATTGTTCAACGTTTAACGCAATAGAAATTCAATTAAAACAAACAAATAGCCCACAATAAGAGGAATCCCGTTTCCCTGCAGATAGATTTAAAAATAAACGGACCCGCCTCGGCCGAAAATGTTTTTATCTTCCGTGGATATCGAAACTTTGACATCTTATGCTCAGCTAAACTTTGGACCACGTAGGCATATAGTCAGTAATATGACAAACTTTATGTATCACTCCTAATTTAAAAAATAATGAAAAGTGGGTAGTTAGTCATTAACTACCCTCTTCTATTTTTAAGTACCTCCAAAAAGTTTGATATCTACAAGCGTTCATGCGACAACACTTTGTATTGTCTGCTATGAATTTTTGTGACTAATTAATGTAATAGCGAAAGACTCTCAACAGAAAAAGGCAACAACAAGTGTATTGGTTCATTGATACGATTTTAATTAACAATCGCGCACGTGTCTACAGTGGCAGGCAAGAGTATAGGAAGCAGTAATTATTTCCTACAGCCCGAGTTGGAACAATGGCACTATCGAATAATGATCGCACTCTGTGAATAGACACCTCACATACATACTAATATTAAAGAGTTTTTAAGCCGAAAGATGTTGAAGAAAGATGATCTAACTAGTAATTTCTCCTATAAATAGTATACGTCAATGAAAGAACATTACATCAAAAAATTTAGTTCGACAAATAGAGAAGAATGAGGCAGACACATTTTTATGTCCCTTGCACTGAACTCGGGCTATTTACAGTCTAGTGATTAGAGTTCTTTGCCCTACCCGACCGAAACTATGTATAAAAAGTATAAGCCGGACGCTTCTCTCGTGAGGCGGTATAACATTCGAGAAACGATCCCTTGAACGCGTACACGCATTTCGCTTAAAACAAATTGATAACATGATCCAATTAACGAAATTGTTAATAAACAATGCTATATAGCAGCTTTGTACAACAATCGTAGAACAAAAACGGTAGACAAAACACACAAGAGTCGTATGTAACGCGCTCCCAACAATGCACGGTGCGACAAAGAGTTTCCTCTCTGCCTTGTATTAAAACGTGCATTGTACTCGAAATCGGACGAAAATGCTCTTCATTACTCTGAAAGCCTGCGCGACAATGGTGGGGGATGGGGTGGTGGCGACAAAGCCGAAGGAACCCACCCTTTCGTCCGGAAAATTGAAATGCCAAGACGTTATTTGGGTCACGATTTTATTAAATTTTAATAGTATCTTTTCTATTTGCTGTGTTCTCCTGTGAAGCCTGCGTGGTAGTTCGTTGAAAACAGGCTAAATACTGACTATATTTTACGTAAATAGTACACATTTAAATAAAACACTTTAACAGTTTAAAACGATATATGCGTGGACACAAGGAGACGCCACGGCTGCTGCAAAGCATCCGAAACGTCAGGCCGTAGTTAAAATAATTTTAATAATATACATCGCGTTTTAAACCGTTAAAGTGTTTTATTTAAACAGGTGACTATCTGAGCAATTTTGATTTGTCACCGCGTCTACCAAGTGACACTAAATTAACATAACAATGGAATTAACTTATCTTACATAATCAAGTTTATTTTATTTACATTTTAAAGAAATTAAATGAGATTCAAATAAACTTACACGAAAACAATCTTATAAGAAAGAAGCACCCAGTTCATCATTGAATTCAAAAAAACATATAACATACATGGTACATATACTTCTATCTCTAGTGTAAATATTACACAATGCTTTGCGAAATACATCACGTTAAATTAATCTTTATTTACTCCGATGCAATGTTAAATAGAAAACAATTTATTATAAAAAGTACTCATCGTAGCAAGAATGCACTCAGGGACATTGTTTAGTTTTATAATAATAAAAAAACGAGAAACGTTTCCTATGTTGTCTCTGTTTAAACGACTTGATATGTTCTGAGAAGAGATTATAAATAATGTGTGCAGTAACATAAAGAACAATAAAAAAAGCATTTTATCTTTGAAACTCTCTCTCCGTTGATATCAGAAAAGCTGAAACTTCAGCTTTTTATTGCCTTTCTTTTTCATAATCCTATTTAGCACCACCTCCCTGTCCTTTTTTTGGTTTCCCTTCACATCTACTTGCTTGGAGGAGATTGTTTTTTTAGCGATAAGGTCGTCTATTAATTAAAAGAAGCTATTTCACTTTTTTATTTATGTATATCTTTCCTTGCCTATGGTATTGATTATTAATAAAGTTTAATAAATATAAATATTTAATAATTTGAAACATTCCAATGTGGATATACTTATTTGAAAAGGTATACAATTTTTTTTGTAGTTAAAGAACCCTTATTATTAACTCAAAGTATTTCTTAACTTTGAAAAAAAAAAGTGACTGTAGATTTAAATGGACAGGTTTTTTTATATATTTGTATATAAGAGTGAAAATGTGTGCTAGGTATGCTTTAAAATTTTGGTTATTATATGGAATGTTTGGTTCTTAGTTTTTCTACATGTTTTCTATTGAACCCTCGACCCTCGTTGTTAGTCGGACTAGACCAATAAAGATAAATCTATATTTTATAAAAGCTGGTCAATTATTATAGTAATTCTAAAATTCAACAATGTCGAATGTGATCAAAATACTAATATTTTAATGAAAGCTCATAAAAATAGCAACATTGTTGAATATTAGAATTATAATATTGACCAGAATTCTTTCTAACAAGAGTACAATGAGACAAATTTTGAACGCAACAATCCGATTAGAAATTATAGTATAGCGGACATCAACCCGCGACACCAAAGGCGTAGTTAAAATACAGTCAAGCGTAAAATATGAAAAAACTTCGTAACAGAGCGGTACAAAAGGCTGTAGTAATTAAACAACGAATGGGCCCTTCGACAACAGACGACAAGGAGCGACAACAGCGACAATGGATACAAAACAACAGTATTTTTGTTGCGTGCCCCTGACAACTCTGCGACGCTACGATAAGCGTTGTGTATGGCCTACGATACACGTACAAGTCACCTCTATGTAATAGACATTTTTAGTAAAAAGGCGCTTTACTTGGTAACCATATCGACCTAAGTTAGAGGGTTATATCAATATTTGCTCATCGGATTTTATGTAACTACGTTGATGTGAAAGTGGAGGTATATATAAAAATATATTTTATTTTATTTATTTATTAAAAACCAATCACAAAAAACAGTTATACAATAGTACCTAATTACGACAGTGAGTTACAATAATGTTTTTAACATGATATGTTATCGATCATATGAGAGATACATTATTGTCTTAATGATTATATATTTAGAAATTATACAATAAAAAACATGTACCATCAGATCCTTTTAATTTATATTTTAAGGAAGGTCGCAAAACGTTGGAAATACTAATTATTAAACAAGATTTTGCTACTAAATTACTAGTGCGACCTATTACATAAACAAGTTACATAAACAGTGAACTGTAGAAAACCCAGTTTTAATGCATCCAAAAATTTCCTTCCATCACGTCGGAATAGAAGTCAAATAATCGTGTATTCACCATCATTGTTACGAGAATCGAATTTAGTTTCGAATAGACATCAAAAAGCAGAGCAAAACAAAACATCTTTAGCCTCCGGCATTCACACAAAAACCAAATTCCGTTTCAGTAAATAAAAGATCATTTAAAAATGGCTCCAGTACAAAGAATTCATCCGTAATAGATTCGATGTATAATGGCTACTTATTTCGGATAAAAAACTTATCAGAGAATAAATGGAAAAAGTCGGACATGCCCCTTGGATTACTATCCAATAAGAGGCTTAATTACTGGATGAAAACGTGTTCAAAACAAAAAATGACGCGGTAAAAAGTGGTATATAAGGCGAGCGAGGAAAATCGGTTTAAATTAGAATCTATCACATGTCAGGAAGAGGGAAGCGTAATGGTTAATTAATTTTGTGAAAGGGTGCTTCGGCAAGACAGTTGCTCGAGTTTTATGTGTAAACGGTAGACCCTAGTTCGTTATAACGTGCGCAGGTCCATACTGGTAATTATACAACTGTGCTTTGTATTGTCTACGCCGTTACTCATAGGTTTTTAATATTGTTTAATATCATTATCATCAATCCTTCCACTTTGTCTTTTTTATCCACCCTGCCAAATTCGTCTTAGTATATGCTATGTTTTCAAAGTTTCACAAAGACTTGTAGAGAAGTACACAAAGATGATTATGTTAACTGTACGACCGGACCTAAAGATAGTTGGGCACTGAGTACCTACACTAAATACGTCTTTCTAATACCTTATCATAAATATACTTAAAGTTAAGCCTTTTTCTACAAAATTCAATTAACGTACGTTAACTTTGTCTGTTTAACGCATAGTTATGAGTTGGGCGTCGATAATAGAAAGCAATTACATCGAATACAATACCCGCCCCGTCTTAATTAATATTAAGCAGACTAGCGACGCCCCCCGACAGTTGGCGCAATCAAGGGTGCTCTTTACAATCAAAATAAATATTAACATACGGTTCTTTTTAATAGATAACAGAATAATTTCCTTTAATCTTTTAGTATGGTTTAGCTGGTAGAATGGAATAGACAAATTGTTGTTGTTTACAAATGTAAGTTAAAAATTAATTGTAAAAATTAAATATTAATTTAGGAGTCATTTAACTATTTACTATAAGCAAGCAAGCAAAACATGGTAGTACTGTTTGCATTGGGATAATCTCTTCGGCCTGAAATTTGTAACCGAACGACATCAGATCGAGTACGATTACGGCTCTAATCTTTGAACCGCGTGCAAATTAGTTAAGTATTTTCGGTATTGGGAGGTTGAACTGATGGCTAGGACAATCAAATAAGTACAAAAAAATATAAAATAAAGTACAAGGTAACCGATAATTCATTTTCCATATGTCAATTTTCCGTCAACCAAATAAAAAGTCAAAGTAAAAGAAGTAATAAATATTATTGCTGTTCTAGAGACCTGTGAGTCACGACGACATTTGTCGCGCCACAGCTGATCGTTTTGTTTGTCGATTTATTAATGCCAATAAACAATACACCCACCTCGATTATCGACAGGTACCTTTGTACGTGTATTGTTCGCGTCACAATGGCCGACAACTGTCACGAAGCTAACATTTAATGGTATTTCGTAAAGTACCTACCTACTGGTTTTAGTTATAAATATAAGTTATATTTATAATAATGTCTTAGTATTAGTCGATTTTTAATTGGTATAGTGCCATCATGTGAATAATTGGTGTGTATTTTTCAGTAACTACGTCTTATAATAGTCGCTATACGATTCATAAGTATTATCTACGTCTGTTATAACGCAAACCGCTAAAAAAGGCAGCACGCCGTTCATATACGTAGGGCAAATGTATAAAAGATCTAAAAATAACAAGACTTAGAACAATTTTAATTTAGAAAAGTTAGACAATGCAGCGGTAACAAAGACCAAAGCTCTAAACCAAAGCATTTATAAAGCCGGAGCGCTAAAAATGGGCGGGAAAAATAGAAAATGGCGCTTCCTCGCCGTCACAGGCAGAATGGCGGCAGGTTTTATTTCTCTTACAGTCGCATCGTACCTCGTTTTTAGAACATTTTCAAGGTATGTTGTACGTTACGTTATAACATATAAAATTATAAATACAATAAGGGCTTAAACATAGCATAGTTACAAGAAAAACACAAATAAATAATTGTATTGCCAACTTAAACCATACCTCCTAGTACCTAACAATTGATGTAGAAATGTAATTTACAATATGGATCTTTCTTTTTAGTTATTAAATACTGTCTACGCGAGTTTACGCGAGTAGTATACATTTAAACAAAACTCTAAAACGGTTTAAAACGCGTTTTTTATTTAAATACCTAGTTATTATTTCTTTTGCAATAATAAAATATGATTAGTAAAAATATTACTGGCAATTTAGAAAGAACTTTTTTTAATGTTTGCGCCGCTCGCTTTGCCAACACACTCTTAGCCAACCTTATAATCTCGGCTAGCGTTTGCTTACATTCGTCTGTTGATTAATTCGGTGGCAGGCGTCCCGCTGCGAGGCCCCTGTCGCTTGATTGCGGGACGATTTTTTACGGGACAAAACTTTTTGGCAACCTTTTTTACGGTAAGCGATTTTTTACAATATTAAAACAAGAACTCCAATTCTATCTGCATTGCGCATTTCAAAAGCGCTGTTATGTAGTTTAATTATAGAAAATATTTTCACATTGATGGACAAAAAATACATGTGACACGAAAAATGTTTAATTTATTTTTGTTATGTTATACACCTTCTAAGAGGTCGATGACCTTTGCCAGCATTAGCAATATACGCAATTTTATAAATTTTCCTTCAAAGTTCACAAAAACAGATGATAATGTAGAAACGATATAAATTTTAACATTCGAACCTTTTATACTTTGAGATAGTATGGAAATGCGCTTACGCACTGTATGTAGATTCCATACTACTCTTTCTGTAACGATTTAAACTAAAGTGTCGAGTAATTCTACCCACTACTTTCGCTGACCATCAAGACTTGTAAAACTTGGGAACCCTGGGATTTGCTAAGGGTCATTAAAATCGAGCACAAAAAACTTATTTAAAAATGCATTTTCACTCACCCAATCGCTTAGATATCTCCGAATTGTGCATCTTTGGGTTATCCTGCGCTATCTTCCTCCTCTGCAGCCTCGACCACACCATGAACGCGTTCATGGGCCGTTTGATGTGTTCCTCTTGGCCCTTCTTGCTCATCACGGCTTCCATGCTGCCAATGCTCATGGACATGGGTGTCATGGGGAAGTGACCCACGCTGTAGCCCCGGTCGCACATTGCACCAGCGGCACTGTAAGTTAAGGAGAATTAACAGACGAACTACACTTGTTTTACATTTACCGCCTATATATTAAAAACACTTTTAACGGTTTAAAACGCGAAAAAATATTCGTGAAATAATTTTACATTAGACCTCACATTTTTTAGTTTTACAGTTCCACCGTGGCCACGACTACTGCAATGAATGCGAAACGTCGGGTCGTAGTTACAATAACTTAAAAGTAATTGAACTATTATATTTCACGTTTTAAACCGTTACAATTGTTGTATTATACGTGCGCTACCTACTCAGTCGTAGACTACAGACAATATAATTATCTAAAGGTAGGTATATAACGCCTAATTTATGCAATATATACTTTTTGTTTTGAAAATAAATAAAATGATCGGCAATGCAATTTGTACAGGTTCGTTTGTAATTGGTGAGCAATTATTGACAATTTGTCTATAAAATAACTAGTCGTGCGTTAAATTACTGGTTTATTGATCTCGAGTTTAATAATATCTCACTTTAAAATACTTTGTAACCGAAATTTAGAGATTTGTTGTTGAGATATTTTCGTAGGTATAATTATTTCGTTATCCTTTACATCAATTTTATATGACTATGGACTAATTAAGGTCTTCTTTCGACCTGTTTCGACTTTGTACAAATGCAATTGAAACACGATCAATCTTCTTGCCTTTTCCATCTCTGGATGGTACTTGTGACCGGGATGGAGTTATTATTCCTAACACCTATTTACCTAATGTCCATATTTTAACTTGAATATATTGTGGACGTAAATCGAACCCGCAGTTAATAGCCATAATTTGCCACCATTTGACAAATTAGCCTAGTTCAACAAATTTAGCAAAAACACGGCCATATTATTTAACATTTACTATAGTTTGACCTTGATTGCTACCTTATCCAGATATCACAAAGAATAAAGGAATGCGTTATTTTTGTCCTTTGCAACCGTAATACGCTGGAGATACCCTTCCCAGCGGGAGTTTAAAATCTCGCACTAAAAATATAATCAGCGATGGTCCCTTATGAATCAGCCGAAGTTATGCGAATGACATATACAACATATTTGGTGTTGCGCGTGCGAATATCTTTAGATATATTTCAAACAAAAACGAAAGTTTATATTAGCTTAGCTATTTTAACTTTGGATATTCGGAAATCAACAGACTGAAACCTAAACGCGATTAAACTTCCCGGCTTCATCCGTAAACGGTGGTTCGTGACCCGGACGGAATTTTGATATTCCTACCACCTATTTATCCAGACTTCCAGACAAAGTCTAAGATGTTTCAAACAAATTAGAAAAATGTTGGACCCGGTGGGATTCGAACCCACACCCCGTTGTTGGCCTTACATCGCTACCATTAGTTAGGTACACCAACGAGCTCGTCGAATGTTTTATTTTAAGTTTTCTAACCTTTTAAATAAATACTTTAAAAATATGAAAACAACTTTTACCTTGAAACTTTCGCCATAAATTTTTATTGCTAGTTACCAATATAACTGAAAGTTAATCTTGTCATCCAAATTGAATTTAACCATTTAACTAAAAATTCAGCTTTAAAACTCGAGATAGTGTTACTTAATTTGGAAATGGTCAGTCCCCCCCCCCCGGCCGCCGCCCCCCGCCCCCCCGGCCGCCCCGGGGAAAAAAAACCTTCCCCCCAAAATTTTTTAAAAAAAAACCCTTTTTTACCCCCTAAAATTTTTTTTTTTTTTTTTTTTTCCCCCCCAAAAAAAAAAAAAAAATTAAAAAAAAAAAAATTCATTAACGTTCAACAAAAGTGAAGTTAGAAATGTTTTAAAACAAAGAGATTAAAACTTCAACTAATAAGAACGTTACATAAGATATCATTTCCATTTATATTTGGTGTTTTAAATCGATCCTTTAGATGGCAAAAAACGTACCTTCCAGCCAATTACAAAATATCCGCGAAATTTCAAAATACTTTAATACATCATTAAAAAGGGGAGAACAAGTGTCGTGTCATAAGCAGCCAATTTGGGTCCCTCTTATAATATTTTCCGCTTCTATGGACACAATAATTGTCGCAGCGATATTAAAAGTTAACACGTGGTGCTTTACAATACACCTATGGGGACTGTGGGGCTTACAAAACTTATTGGAGACTGTTGCTAAAAAGTGATTCTAGGTAAGTAATATGCAATAATTACAAAACATATTTAACTATAGAGATCGTAAAAATCTGTCGATTTGTTTTCGATAGAACATTGATCGAGGAAGACTATAAAATATCAGGCTGGCTCGAATAGGAGCAAAGAAATAGAAAAAAAATGAGGAAAATTATATTTATACTAACTACGACGGAACAGATGGCGCTAGTGTTTACTTTGACATCAGACATCCTCCATCTTAAGTTTCCCCGTGATCACGGCTACTGCAAAGCATCTGAAGCGTCGGGCCGAAGTAAAAATAATTTAAATGAAATAATACATTTCGCGTTTTAAACCGTCAAAAGTGTTTTATTTAAATGCCTACACATGACTTATTTTAACAGACGAATGCATTAATTTGGTAAGTAAATAACTGTGTCACCTTACTATGCCGACCTACGGAATTTCGTTTCTTTTCATACTAGTTTCTGATTTGTTTCGGAGAATATTATATTTGGTTCAAAAAGGCCCTTTGTAGGGTCGTCGTGTCAATATTTGTCGCCGCCTGTGCAATTCTAACAAGCATAACTCAAATAGAAGCTGGTTTAGTGCGTGTTAAAAAAATGTTTGACGATGAAGCTTCTAGTCAATTCCAGTAGTGAAAATGAGTATAAAATTTTCATGTCTGTATTTTACGCAGTCAACACTTTTAACGGTTCAAAGTGTTAAAAGTTATATCCAACACGCGGGCCGTAATTAAAATGTTTATTATTAAAAGTGTTTCATATAAATTAGCACACGTATTTGAAAGTAGTTCTTAGCTACCAATTAAATTATTTTATGATAAAACATGGCGCACATAGACCGTCTGAGGACGGTCCACAGATAAAAGGGCGAGAAGTTTAATCACGTTTCGGATGTAGTCTGTGGATTTCCGAAGCCATAATAGGTTGACAACGCATCGTGTTTAGATTTCACCCATCCAGTGAATCCTATGTTTGTCTGTCCTCTACAAAAATCTACAGTCAAGGCATTAGTACTTGAGAGCGGGTTACAATTTGTTTTTTTCTCAGCTCTGATTTGCTTTGAAAAAAGCTCTATTCTGAGAAGTTACAAGAACATCAGGAGCCTAAACAAGCTACTGTACGTTAGTAAAGCACTTAGTCGCCGACTGCACACTTTACAAAACCTATTAGCGAAGACTCAAACGAAACAGTCTGACGCATTCGTCAAAATTAGTGGTTATTTGTGCATCGGATTACCATGTCTTGGATCCCTGTTATAGGGATAAAGGAAACGAGATCATTGAAATCTATTTTAAGCTATACCCTTTTTTTCCTTATCCCTTTCAGTGGGAAGAGAAACGGTAACAAGGCATAATAAATAATATGTTTACGAACATAAAGTTATGTACAAAGTAACTTAGAACTAAAATGAATAATGAAACACTTAAAGTTAGAAAAAAGGACAATTTTTAACTTTATTCTACTAAGCGCTGATTTTCAGTCTGTTTTTTCATATAAAAAATGTTCGCAAAGTTTAAAGATTGAGGAACTAAACCTGAAGGAATTATAAGTAGATACATATATACTTGTAGTTAAACAGTACTTATAAGAATTAGGTACCTAATGATTACTGTTAGTTCGGATTTACTGAATTTCAGGGAGTAAAACCTAAATACTGTCTATTGTTTACGCGAGTAGTACACATTTAAATAAAACACTTTAACGGTTTAAAACGCGATATATTAGTTAAACTTATTTGAAAATGATTTTTAACTTCGGCCCGACGTTTCGATGCTTTTGCAGCAGCCGTTGTCACGGCGTTTTAAACCGTTAAAGTGTTTTATTTAAAAGTAAAACCTAAATTCAAAGAGTTTACTACTGTTTAAAATGCGAAATATGTTAGTTAAACTTATTTACATTTTAACTATGGGCCGAAATTTTAGATGCTTTACGCAAGCATGGTCACGGGTCGCATCGATTGTATATAAGTTGAACTAGTATTTCGCGTTTTGAACCGTTGAAGTGTTCTATATAAATGTGTACTACTCGCGTAAGCTACAGAGGGTTTTTATATATTGCTGTCTTATTAATTTAAGATTTCAAGATATAGATGTGTTACGTAATTTGATGTTTTAAAATCAACTTAACTTTACACTTGTTATTAGGACCGAAGCTAGTTTCGGTGTCGATTATGCTACAATAGTAATCAGACGAGGTTTGTCGCAGAAATGGGAGTGTAAAAGCAAATAACAGTTGCATCCACAATTGACAAACACGAGAGCCTAGCAGAGGCAGTGTTAAATGTATGCGCAAACGCACATCATCGCTTGTTTGTTTCGGCAAGATCTGAAGGGCGGATTGTTTCAAGGAGACGTACGTGATAATTCACTGCGCGGTGTAATGAAACCTTCGGAGCTGTCAATTATGATTATTGTGCAAACATTTGTATGGCTTTACAAGAATGTTGCACGCTAAGGTAAGCGGGTAAGAATAGTTCTTTACTTGCCTACCGTACCTAATAGTAAGAATCATTGTATGGTAGGTAGGTATTTCTCGACAAGCTACTTTAGATTTCTTATTTAAGCTATACCTAGCCTATACTTAAATGGGGGGGGAGGGTAAGCATGAAAGCGTAAGACCTATTATTTAGATAAAATATACTATGTCAACATGACTGTAATTCAATTATAATCAGATAAAAATTTATATATTTTTTTTATTTTAAATTAATTTTCCATTATATTAGAACTATACTTTTCTTCTCATTATTTAGTAAGTAATTCATAGTATTATTTTGTTTCATGTTGAAAAGACGAAACTGTAACTAATACAGCGCTATACAAAACAAGAATCTTGATCAAAGCGATACCGCCATTGTAAAAGTGTAAAATTAATAAACTTTTTACGATAGCCGTTATAAACTTACACAGATTGTACCATCATTAGCTGTAAGTTATTGTGGTATTTGCAAATTGGGTTATTTATATTGGTTTTCAATTCTTATACGCCGCATATAGAATATAAAACACAAAAAATTAAGATGTGTGTAGTTTATGCGAGTAGCCAACCATTAAAACTATTATTGCCTTAAAACGAGAAATACATTAGTTCATCTGACATTTAAACAACGACCCGACGTTTTGGATGCTTTCAAGTAGTCGTGGTTAGATCGTCGTGTTTGAAACCGACAAAATAGTTTAATAAAAAATAAAGAAACTATGGAAGCTTAAACAATTTGACAAAAACTACATTCTTCTAAGCGATAGTTACTCGTAGGTACTATTATTAGTACCTACCTATAATTAAATAAAAAATTTTTTTTTTTTATTTTTCCCCCTCGTGGGACATGGGGCGAATACATTTCTGTGCCCGTTTCACTGATCCGTTCTTTAACACGCAAGTAGTTGATCAGACTTCTGTGCCCTGCCCGACCGAAACATCTTTGGCTTCCCTGGGATTCGAACCCAGAATTAACATTTTAACTATTTGGCTACAGAGGCGGTCGAAAGCTATAGCCGGTCGTAATATAAATTAATCACTTAGACAATCGTTTAGACGCGAAATATATTATTTTACTTGTCGAGGACTACCTACTGTCTAGGAATTGTTAATAAGAAAATCCCCCTCGTGGTTTTTTATATTCTTACTTTTAGTGTTATTTACTCACATAATGTGACTTATGTTAGCATTAGTCTTGTTGACATCAAATCGTTACTTGTTCCCGACGGATATAGGGTAGGTATGACCCAACTTATGTAGCTACAAAAATATCTAATTGGACATTGGTAGGTATAATAGAATATAGTATAATAAATTTCTATATTTTTTAAACATTATACCTAATCCAAAGAATATTACCAACTTACAATTCTCAACTAATCCCGTATTTAATACCTATTGATACACCTACTATAGCGTACTTAATATTACTTAATTATTTTTTCTAACTTACTTAACTGTCTCAATAAAAAAGAATAATAAACATACACTACCTACGATTGTAACTTGTTCAATTACGAATAAGTTAATCTACACGGCATTAAAAACAAATTTAACGGTTTAAAACGTGAAATATATTAGTTAAACTCATATTTCATTCATTTTAAGCACGACCCGCTGTTAGGGATGTTATGAAGGAGAGGCAGGACTGTAGATGGAGGGTCCCAAATAACTACTTGAGACAGTAGTAATTACTCAAATATTTTGGCATTTGCGGGCTAAATTATTATTAATGAGATAAATGTGTGATTTAAGTTAAATAATGAAATAAATTTTGATATGAATAAAAGTGTACCCATGAGGAAAACGCGCTCGAGACCGACAACGAACGTCGTACGAACATAAAAACACAACCGAAACAAATTAATTTGTAACAAGTTCGCTGACACTATTGTTCTCTTCAAGGACACCGCTTTCCCAAGATTCATATTCAATTACCTCATCAGGTGACCGCTGGCACGGTGGTGTAGCTCCAGATCCACGGTGGTACCTTCGATTACCTCTCAAAACACACCACTGCACACCGAAAACAATTAATTCGATCAGTTTATCATAAACACGGATCGCGACCGCCGAGCGCCCGCCGCTGGTTACAATGGCGACAATTGTGCGGCGCGACTGCGGCGTTCGCCGTACTAACAAATCGAGTGATAAAACCGGGCCGGTCTCCGCCAATCGGGGCGCGCCATGACGCCCACGAAAACCCAGGGTCTGCTCTGATTGGTCAAGCAACTGCCATTACCTTACGGATGTTATTATGCAGAAGAGCCAACTGTTCGAAATTCATAATAAGAATTTAAGCGTTTACCAGCCGGGGCACAATGCAAATTGGTAGCGTGTTGTGTGGTATGCTCTGTTTTGCTTTTGATAAGGTGTAATCTGTATTGAGAATTTCATTATAAGTAGATATTTCTTATTAAGGGATGATGGCTTTTTGTAGTAAGCTAAGCTTACAAGCTAAGTGGTCTGGAGTAGGTTCTCTACGAATATACACATTCACTTAACGAGAAAACTTAAGCTGTATCGGATATTTAATTTTACGAAAAATGTATATACATATGTATAAATAATAAAAAGAAACTCCCTGTTACTAGGTTAAATAAGTATTTACGAAGAAAACTACAAATTACCTTATTCGCATGTTGAAACATAGCATGTTTTACGTTTGGCGTTTTTGCATTACTAAATATACACCTACATTATATATCTACCTATAGGTAAAGAGGTAGATATACAGTTTAAATATTTGTTATTTAACTATTCTATAGCTTAGAAGTTGACAGACAAGAAAAGTCTGTTAAAATACTGTGTATAATTAAGATTAGTATTAGAGAAAATCTCGACAACACTCTCGGGCTACCTGTTACGAGGTAAGGATTGTATTGTTACGAACAATTATTATAGGAACGATTTTTAAGTTTTCAAACCACTTCAATACAATATATTATTAATACATTAGCTTAATATAAATTATAATTAAATTAATAATCGTTATTAAATCTTCTCCTTCATTTTATTTAGAAAACGTTAAAACCATTTGAATTGGGCACCATCCCTAATAATCATATATGTACTTATAGATTTTTAAAGCAATTTAATTTAATACATCTACTGCAACGTTCATTAAAATAATGTTAGCTTTATTGACTAAGTGAGTTCAACTGAAGTATATTTACGAGTAATTCAGACCTTCTTGCAATTAGCAAGCAAGAATACATCGTTTTACACTGTCATTATCTTGGGAAGCCTGAAACAGTTCTTACACTGTATACACGATTCGTATTATCTTCTTACAAAACGTTATTAAAATGTTATTATATTCAATATCGCAAACATGATACATATCTACAAGAATGGTTTCCCATAGCTACTTCAATTGACGAACAGTTTCTAGATTAAAGAATAACAATCTTCAATATCGATATTTTGAAGTGAAATAACTCAATTGGTAACGGTTACAAGTACAATGTAATCTTAAGGAAAAATTAACATACGTCTATCATCCAAAATATGATCCAATAACCGAACAATTGTACGATGCAAATTCGTAAACGATATCTTATGGATTGTAAATCGAATTTACTTTATATTCAAATGAGATGGCTACCGTAACATTCGCGACAGTTAAATGAATAATACAATCGCGTCGATAATAGAACTGTAAGGTTATGTGAGCCGACACGGGGGCAGTGGGTCGCGCCCCCGGTCCCGGGTGTCGCCGACAATGTTACAAAGTGCGGTCTACAATGCGCCATACGCAAATTAACTGCATGCCCTTTCAATTTTTATTGCCAATAAAAAAATATCCATTCATCGATTTGTCACCCGTGGTACATGCGCTGCTATAATACAAATTTAAATATCGCTAAATGATTTTTGCATATGACACACCGATTATGCTATGCACATGCAGATTTCGCGACATGTGCATGCAGGTATTTAAATTCGATTGTTAAATTTACAAGGGAATTTAACAGACCGTTACGGATACGTTTATTGAAACGGTTATCGATAAATTAGCGTGAAATGTCTTGATATCGATAAAAAATTTATTTCGTACTAAATAAATTTATTGCTCCTACCGTTAATGAGCCGTTAAAATTTTGCATTTATGAAATCAAATGCCAGTGTAATGTGTGCCTAAATATGTTTTTATTTACATAATAATACCAATCGAGATTATAAATAAATATAATAAACTAGATATGTAAACACCTATTGTCTGTAGTTAACATGAGTGTTTCATACCGCATAAAACCGTTATAAGGGTTTGAAATGCAACATAGGGAATAATAAATAAACGAGTATATTCTGCATTTCGAACCGTTCAAGTTTTTGGTAATTTTATTGTTTCCTTTATTCCTAATCAAATTATAATACTAACAAAGGTGGTATTCTGTTAAGAAATTTCCGAAAACTCTTCTAATTGGACTTTTTGATAAACTGTACACATTTTTATATTTTTTTAATCTTATTAATATAATAATAGGAGTTTACATTCTTAAGCAAATATCTCAAGAGCATGTTAAAAGCCATTTTGAACGAAAACAAAGAATAAAACACAATGACACGTCTATAACTTTTAATTCACACAATATTAACATTGTTAGATCATTTTATTTTAATTAGATCTAAACATTTGAACAAAAGCTTCATTCAACTATCTACTTAAATGAATGAATTACAAGAAATAAAATTATGATAATCTTATCTTGTTAGGACCTTATCTTTAACCAACTGCACATTAGGGCTTATTATTTACATTTCTCATAAGTGATGTGCAATTATCGATTATCATCGACTATCGACAAGGCACTCGCTGCTGACATCAAGTGTGTCTGCTAGTGATGATCAGTCGTCTATGTTTGTGTGCTTTGATATTGAGTTACTTATCTACAGAGAAATGGTTCTAAGGGCATTTACGTCGTTTTTCACATGTATACGTAAAGCTATAGATTTGGTTTGTTAGTATATAAAAATTTCAACACATTATTACATACTTATAATAGTTATATATTGTAAAAACTACACCTTCGCGCAGACTCAACAGATAATATAAAAATTTCAGTAAAATTCTGTTACATATAATACATAAGGATTGATTTATATATATACACACATACTTACATGAATTAGGAAAAAGTTAAATTACATTAATAATATTTAAATTATTATTTTTTTAATTTTATTTCTTTAATCTAACACATAATCATATAAAACATAAGTCAAATTGTTAGTACCCAACAAATTAATACCTAATTATATTTTTAGTAAATATCACAAAGATTGTAATAAACAAATATAAAGGTAATTGTTATTCCGTCATTTAGCTACAAATAATGCTACGTATACCTAATAGAAGTAACGAATTAACAATTAACTCACGTGTAAAGCCATAGTAAGCGATTCAATTATCAACACGGACAAAAAGTTTGAAAAGCCTCAAATATTCATAATATGTCTGTCTGTTTATTCCCCCGGGTTGGTTAACTTCCTTTTGATAGTCGATAGAGCGTAAGAAGCGTCGCTTAATCCAGCTTGATCATTTAGGGCTTGTGCAAAATGTGTTTTAAGTCATAGAATACAAGCTTATTGGGTAATAACTATTAATAATTCCCTAAGTATAATAACAATTAATATATATCTTATTTTGGGGAGGTATTCAAAAGCGTCGTCTATATGTCTTTAATTACGTTGTAATTTAGGATAAAATTGAATCGCAATAAATAAATAAAAACTAAAGAATATACTGTCTATAGTTTACGCGAGTAAGTAGTACACATTTAAATAAAACACTTTAACGGTTTAAAACGCGATATATTAGTTAAACTTATTTGAAAATGATTTTTAACTTCGGCCCGACGTTTCGGATGCTTTGCAGCAGCCGTGGTCACGGGGAGGGGGATATTTTACACTTTCTGATTTCGTGGGACGGAATAGTCTCCCTATTTTATGGATCTGTTTTCATCTCATGTGATTAATTTTAGAATATTAATATTATTTTTCAATTAAGTACATAGGCACGTGTATGTAGGTACTTAAGGGTCATGGGAGGCATCTATTTCATTTATTTTATTAATGTAACATAGTAATAAGTAAATTTTCTTGTTATACTTGAACCATTTAAAAAGGCTAAAGTTGTAATACATAAAACCTTTTAAAATAATTGGTATATTAACATTTAACAATACGTTGTGAAAATCGCCAAAGCGTCTAACTTAAAACCCCATAGGTAGCAATGTGAAGGAGGCACTGATGAAGACTTACACAATTTTTGCTCTAAATAAAAAGGTAAGCTTTATTTTCTCCTTTATAGGGGACAGTTTTGAATAAATCACCTTTATTTGGATAGGTGCAGTGATATCAAGGACTTATCTCGCTTTTATGTGAAATAAATTCGCCATAAAGCTCTCTATAGGGAAACCAAAAAACCGGTAAGCAATCACTTTTAATTTGATCTGTGTATTGTCAAAGAGTACTCGTAAAGTACTTAACTACCGGTTTTAATTAATCTTTAGTTTATATATTAACTGATGCCGAGGTAGATACAGATAGGATAAATTGTATTATTTTTTCGTGTTTAAACTTAAGTTAAACGAATAAAATGACAATAATTAGCCTTGCTTACTAAAATGGTGCAATGCTCGCGTGATCCAACAAGGTGGTAAATCTCTTGTTTTTAATATGTTAGACTTTGTCTGGAATATTAATCTATACAGATGGAAACGCCGGTGTTTCAGTTCGTGGATAATCAAATGTTCAAAGCCAAAATGGGTCGACAGCGCCGCTGTCTAGTGATGCTGACTTTTCTTCATCTGTCAAAAACTGTTGTATTAAATCTGGCATATTAATTCTACACTGAAGTATATATGCACCAGATATTACACGTATTTACGTGTCTACATAGAGACATATTATAAGATTAACTATTGTATTTAGGTTT